TGGTATCATGATAAATTAAGCAATAATTATCAAACGAATTCAGATGATAAAATGTGATACATTGGTAACAATTGTCGTTAAAACAAAGGTCCTCGTTATTTTAAAATTGTTTCGTTTGTGACATCCCGTCGGCAGTAACTGTCAAATGTTGATATTTACAGTCACTAGTTGTCAATAAAATATGTTTGAGTACAATTTGTGTGTTCTATATCATTTAAAATATATATTGATATATCAATGGTAAATACATGAACATTCCATTAAATGTAATTTTGTAAATCTAGGTCTGAACCTAATTGTTCTGTTCAAATATTCAACGAAACTTCGTCATCTGTTGACGTTTAATGTGACGTCAGTGTGTGACGAAATATTGCCGAAACATTTGTAAACTAACAGAAAGAATCCAAATTCATGAAAAGCAGAATTGTTGTTTCAAGTAGAATAATGATAATGCTACGATAATATGTTTCATTATTTTTATCATATATATCTACACAATGGATTGTATAAAACCTTTGAAACATTAAAGCATTAGAAAGTAACTGTAAACATATCTGAAAATGTCTATAAAATGTCTGTGACTGAATGCCTGGACATTCATTTTAATTTACTACTTTCCTAAAATCATCTTCATTTAGCAAATAATTCAATATGTTTTTAATGATTTCAAAGTTTGTTTTTAGTTATTTCAAAGTTAATTTTATCAAAGACAAATCTGTTTTATGACTGACGTGAATACTTATTATGTGCTTGTGCAAAAAAATCATTGAAAATTTAGATGTGTAAAATGTTCTATAACAAGTCAAATTTTGAAGTATAATCTAAATTCATTTGATTGATTTTATGCTGTTTGTTTTTCATGTGATTCTAGACAGTAACACATTAGGTGTTCCTAATGCAAATGCATCTGAAGTGAAGCATAGACTCCACACTGTAAAAAACACATTAAAACAATTCATATTGAATACAAAATTTTCCAAGCATATTTGCCATGATATGGAAAGCTCTAAGGAACAGAAGGGTTTGAATCGAACTTTTTTCTCTCGTGAAAAAATACAAGACAATGTTCTTAAACATATTTATGCAGCAATCGATACAATGCATTATTCAAATATATTTTTTTTTAATTTGATAGCTTATTTCTTTGTGTCGATACATAAAGATAATATAAAACTTCATTTGATTTGTAAGATTGATTTTTTAAAAATACACACATTACAAATTACACACACACATTACAAAGTACACAGTAAATTTGAAAAAATTCAAATTATCACTGTGAAAAAATTGATCATTATTTACAGATTATTTTTATCAATCTATATACCTTAGAAACATACACTCCTTCTTGCAGATTGAGATTAAGTCTGTTTAAATATTAAGCCAGGTGCCAGGTATATCTATGCATTAATTAATGAAGATTCATGAAAAAATACTGTATTTCTTAATTTGCAATATCAACACTGGGTTATATAATAACTAAGACATGATTTAACAGTTGTCCTATCATATCTTAGATAATGAGTAACAATATCAACTTGTAGATGATATTACAACGTGTCTCTTTCATTTGGAAATTTTATGAATATCACACAAATATATATTAACCTTTAGTCTGTTGTATTTACCAAGCTCTGATCTGTGTTTTTAAAAGGTTTTCCGTTTTTTAATATTATAAATTCAAAACAATGAGTATAAAACTTTGCTAGACTGCCTGCACGGACGTACAGGCTGGCCTGAATCTATACTAGTGGGTGGCAACGTTTAATCAATATCGATTTTGAATGAGGTTAAGGATTAGAATTAGCTAATATGACACAGAAAAATCATCATTATCTTTAAAACCATTATCTTAAGTCAAACAATCTAATATAATCATTAAAATCCGCCATTTTCATCTCTACCTTCTTGCTCTTTCGCAGATTTATTTCCTACGGGAGGAAAAAAACTAATTAAAACATTCATATTTAAACGTTATATGTTTTTAACATAGTAAGTGTTTAGTTTTGTAGGTACAAAGAAATAAAAAAGGTCCATTATTGCTAAATAAATAACTGCAGTGCCTTTGATGAGGTGATGGTGCCATATTATTGAAAGAAAGATATATCCGTAAGCCATTTCTTTCCGGTAAAACAACATGTAATTTCGTTAATTAGTATAAGTAAATTAGGAAGAGATTGGTCTAATTAAGTCTATAAAATATGCAATAAATATTTTTTGCATAGATTGTCACTAAATGTGTTGCTTCATGATAGATTTAAATTAGTTTTCACAACACTTTTTTTATTAAAAGCTTTTTGAAACTGATATTTTTCTGCTTTTTTCCGGTTTTTTTTGAAGGGATATCAATATGTCTTTTAAAAAATGCTTCAAGTTAACATTGAAGGTGTTTTTATTTTCCCGTAGGGTATTAATTGTTTGATAAGAGACACAAATATCACTGGCTTGCAGCTCTTTAACATTAATTTTTAAACAGATTCTCCATAGCTGTTTCAAAATATGGATTAAAATACTAATGCCATCATTAGGACAAAAATTATCAAACGTTAGCAGCAGTTTTAATGACTTTGTTGAAAGTGTTTTTGCCCAAAATAAGTGTGTCAGTGGCGTTGAACGCAATGTTCAACTTATTAAGTGTTGAAAAATATTTTTTGAAAATTAGAAAATTACAAAATGCAATATTAATGCATTACAGAATATCAATTCCACAAAATGTAGTATTTACATGTTTATGGGTATGAAATTTTCGTTTTTATGCATACAATTTCTTTTATTTACTTGTTTTACTATGATATTTTTTGTTTACTCAATAATATGGTAAGTGAATAATGATGTGTTTAAAGATTTGACTTCAATAAGATATATTTCATATAAAATGAATACCATGAAACTTCCTCTATTTCATTTTATATTAACCCGAATTCACATTGACAGAATGAGTAGTTAAATAACATCTAAAAGAGGATAAAATTCTTTGTCATGATACATTATTATCCATAAAGATCTTAAAAGAACTATTGTTGACAAGTTGGGCATATTAAACATTTAAGATAGATAGTATATTTTAACAAAGGCAAATAATTTAGAGGGTAAAAAGAGAATTTTAAGACATCTTATTGGATTATTGATCATGCTGGAGAGGAACAATACAAACTCTTCAAATTATAGGGAGAAGTAATTGCTGTGGAAATTTTAATGGTATTTTCAAAGTAAAACTGCTTAAAATGGCATTAAATGTTCACCCAGACGGTTATTATGCCATAAAATTGTAATGAAACAACATTTATGCCGGTTAGAAAGTGTTGATAAACCTGGAGTATATGACCACTGGTATTTTTTTCTTGGGTGAGAGGGGGCACATTTTTTATCTGTTACTTTCAACAAAAAATATACCCTGGTTTTTATAGAATGAGGGTACAATATAATATTGCTTTGTCTGATTTTTAACCTAGGAGAAAAAAGTGGGTGTGTTGGGTGTTTCAAACTTGAATATATTTAAGATAGTTTCATCAAATTCAGTAGTCGGACTGTATCGTATTTTTTATGTTAATCAGATAATTGGTAGATCATTTACAAGTGTGTATAAATTTCAGCAGTATTTGATTTCAGTATTTTTGGTGGAGCGTTATTTTTGTGTGCATGTGATTTTTCTCATGGTATATCTGTGCTAACGTTTTTGACGCTATCAAGATACGTGTGCATGAAAGAATTTTATTATGAAATAATTATATTATTATTTCTTTCTACAGTTATAAGAGAATGAAAATGTCATATTTTCTAAGCAAAATGTGAAATGTATTATTACAATTAAGACAGCATATCATAGCTGTATTGTCTTATATTCAATTACACGCCAATCATGTTGAAGAAATATTTAAAGGCTTCAAAACGACAAATAATGATATTACGTTTGAATGTGATATTTCATCTATTGAGCTGTAATTGCGTTCTATTTCCCTAGCTGAAATTCATGTTTCTTGACAAAATTTAATTAATAAACTTGCACATAAAAACCTCTTTTGATCGTTTACAATTTATGTCGAACTTCAAAAGAAGAATAGAGGCTTCCCTAGTCTTTGAAATTAAAGACAGTTCTAATATTTTCTAGAATGACAGTTTGAAAATATTTGATATCAAACGTATTTTATAAAAAAAGTACAGCCTTTGTTTTTTTGAAAATATTGATATATTAAAATTGCAGCAATATTCTGTACATCGTTAAGATAATAATAATATCATTTCTTTATTAAAAACAAATAAAATAAAAATATATGTCTGATTTTAAATGTGCCGTTTATAAATAAACGCGCCATATTATTTTGTTTCGTCTTTTGTCTTTTGAAATATAACGTTGTTTTTTTAAATATAGATTCATTACTTTGGGTCCTAATTTGAACAGCCAGCGAAAACAATTTATAGTGTGGTACAAAGTTAGTAAAGCGTGTTTTTTATGACAATCTTGTCGTCTGAATACAGGTACAACATCATATTACAGAAATAAAAATAACACCTTTTGTGTAAATAGTTTTCGTCTGACACACAAAATGTCGTCTGATATAACAAATGCCGGCTGAAGAAAGATTACCTCGATATTACGCTCAAAATGGTTGAATACATGGTGTAACTAACAAGTCTAATTTAAAATTTAAATACAAACCTGTTTAAAATCTTTCATTTATAATCAGACATTTTGACATGTTTAGTAAATTTATATACACGACGTGTAATAGATACATAGAAAAAAGGAAAGTCAACAGTGCGCATTTAACCATGTGAATTTTGTAATATATTTTATTCGTGAACATGTGATTGATAAATATTTTATAGCGTGTGATTTTTATACTCTATTTGTAATGTATATTTCATATTTTATTTGCGGGAGCGGATGTAATTATAGAAACAGCGAGATCTGTAATATTCAGTCTGTAACACATCTCTAAATATTTTAAAACATTTTACACATGGCGGATGTGATAAATAAATCAAATTTGCATACTCACCAACAATTGACATCCACGGATAAAACGAAGGTGGCGGACCATCTGCGTCTCCCGTTGGAAGCCCTGGCGCACATCCCGGGCTCATGGGTTCGTTTTTGTTGTTATTCATAGGAAGTCCATCCATATTTTCTCTGAATCGTAAATTTGTCAGATTTGATGCCATACTCATGTTCGGGTAGAATGATGGTCTACCCTGAAGCCCCATTCTAATGTCATGATTCCGTTGTTGGAGCGCTTCCATCCGACATTGTTCGGCTTGGTATGAGTTCATGTAATAACGCGACGATCTATAGTCCGCTCCCGTCGGACAAATGTCGGGTATATTTAAAAAATGATCCATGTACCCTGTATTTTCCGCAGCCGTATGAATTTCATGTTCTGGTCTAGGTGCAGCACTATGCCTTATAGGTAAATAAGAACTCATGTCTTGCGCGACTAAGTTACTTTTATCCTTCTCACTACTGTTAATGGATAGTGAAACCATCTATCTATAGTGAAAAAATATTAGAGTAGAAAATCATTGAGTTTGCTGAAAGACCTGCAGTCAGTGCTGAAGATAAATGTGCACATTTTCCCTACATCCAATCAGAGTTACGAGAAGTTTGACCTCCTGTGACCCCGCGACGCATGAACACACTGGATCGATTCCTACGCTAGAGAAAATACTCCCTCCTATTTCACTGTTGCGTAGATACACTTAAAAGCTACAAGTTCTGTGTAGCGTATACAGTGATAATATAAACAAATGATTACAAATATTTTTAATTTAGGAATACTGCTTAGGATCATTTTTACTTTGAAGCTAAATGGCTGTTATTCGGATTGAAGGCGATCAAATAGAAGGCCAACTACCCAGGCTATAAATCCACACTTCAAAGCGTTTATCTGACATCGAACTAATTATTTACCAATTTTTCAAACTGTATACATAAGAATATAGTCTGGGCTTATGTGCTCGGAATTTTACGTTTATAACTTGGAATTAATGTTTATCAACGGACATCCACACCCATTGGTTTCCCTCCTTCCTTAATCGCGCGCAAAAAAATGACAGGAATAACTTTTGCTTCCAAAAAATATATGTCAATGTCTGTTTATTCAAAATTATTTTCCCTTTGACCTGTATTTAGTAAACGCTTGGAATAATGAAGTGTTTATTGCTTTAAGAACACCTCAGTTTTCAGGTAAATTAGACAAATATTGTGCGTGTTAAAGAAATTTTCAAATGTGTAAATGTAAAGTTAACGAGGGTTAGGCATGCACAGTTTCGGGTCAATTTTTTGTGTTTTCAGTAAATTGACAAATGTAATGTATCACGAATAGAAAGAATTATAGGAGTGATATATAACTTTAGAAAACAAGCTAAATAAATTTTATTTTATTAACAGGAGGACGGTGTTTGAAGGGTTTTGTTTATAAAATAATATATTTAGCAAATAAGTGAAGTGAAATAGATTTAATAGTAGGAAATACCACATTTCATAATAGACATTTCAGTATTTCTTTCCATTTAATTATATAATAAATATTTATATAAAAAGTAAAAAATAGGAAGAAAATGAAATTGATGATATACTATTATTATAAGACAAGAAACTTTAAACTTTCCTTGTTTTAAAATACTTTCTTAATTATAAATTTGATTAAAAGGATAAAAAAGGTGTTTGGTAAACTATATTTTTAAATATTGTTTGGTATTTTCCAAATACACATTTTAAATATCATTTCAAATTAAAATAATAATGTTAACTATCAATATAAATTAAATACAGAATAATATGTTCAATTTGATTTCGTTCAGAAAATTATGTATCAATCTATTTCATATACAAATTAATTTATTTTCTTTCTCACAAATTTCTATATATTTTTTTTTTCATGAAAGTATAACCAGTTTTTTTTAATTACAGTAGAGGATACACATGAATTGGATGTAAATTTATATTCCTAAGATATTTACACAATTTAAACTTCAATTCCAGGCAAGTAAAATCATCATATCAATATAAGAGTTATTATAATTTTAAGGACATTTCAATAAAAATAAAAGAATACTTCTTAAAATTGATACACAGAAAAAAATAACTGACTATGACCAATAAGTTGGTTTTTGTTCACTTCTATAATTTAACTATATATCCTTTTTTCCAGCATTCTAGATTTGCACAGCAACCATCTCAACTTAAGCCTATTATCTGATCATTTTGTTTTGAAAATCAGCTTTTCCTTAACCTATAATTTCCTACCGGAACGTGCTCATAAATTGTTTTACTAATGACACAGTATGTCGAATTCTCCTTTAGTTTGGGTTACTATTCTGAGATGCATTTAAACTAAACTTTCTTGTGTTATCTTGTACTGGGGCAGTTAATAAGGCAATGAGTCACTGCATTTAGATATCGATTGAGCCCATTTAAATACTCTATTATTTAAACATTGTCTTGCAATTGAGAACCGAGTAAATGTTACGCCCTCAGGCATTTAAGTCTTTATGACCAATGCCGTTTTTCAGATATAGATAAAGAAATCATTGCTTCGACTAAACGTAACACTGACCTGTATAATATTTAAATTTTATATGGAGATAGAACCTAAGGACATAATTGTGAAAGCAATCAAATTCCTTTACCTTTTACATCCACTTGTTTCAAGTAATATTTAATCAAATATTTTAATAACCATACTTCATTAGGTCTAACGGCGGTCGTCTGTAGGAAATGAATTGAAGTAATTTTAATTAAGGTAAAAACTTGTGACTTCTAATGTTTTATGAGATGAAAATGCATTAGTTGTCCTCGATAATGTAAAATCTGACAATAAAATCAAGTAAAAACAAATGAGTGCATGTGTCAAAATAAAACTGCGAATCCTCTATCAAACAATCATCTCCTCCCCAACACAATGAATACAGTTATAAGATAAAGAAGGTTTTTAAAAATCACGTCAAAATCTATTTTAAATATTCAAATCAATATGAAATAATATTTGATAAAAGACCTTTTCACGTCAAAGTCGAAATTTAAAATTTAATAAAATTCGGAGATGGTATTATTACCATAATTTGTTTTTAATCATGGTAATCGGTCGTATTCTGACAAAGTTATTATCATATTCAAACCATAAACAATGGCATAGGACGTCAGGTTTGATCCAAGACAGTCATGTGTTCGCATCAGACAAGCATATAACCAGTTTTCAAAACATAAAACATGGTCGTCAGTGTTTTCTCATACTTAGGTCGGTTTTCATGTGTTTGAAATATATTGCCAATATGAGTCTTAACTAAACAATAATAATCACATTTTTTATTTCAAAAGCAGTAATGCGTGTAAACTTGATTCTAGTTTTGTATTAAATTTCGGCGATTTTCGGTCAATTGACTTCCCGAGGGTGGTAATTTTATGGCTATAGAAAACTGTATTTTATTTCACTCGTTGTTTCAATAAAACAAGAGTTAAAAGCAAGCAAGGTAATATTTCTATAATTATTAGACGGTTGAGACATTTTATGTCCTTCTTTACCGAGGTCATCCACACAAATATTTGTGGGGCCATAAAATTCCCTTGCCAGTAGATATAAGAGTTTAGGAAAGTCGGCACCTGCACTAGTTGTCTGGGGGATTTTGGATAAAATGTTGCAAATTTTGTCAAAAGGAATATATGAACGGGAGAAAAGTTTCGTTGTGAATTAAAATAAAATAACAGTTTTTTTTCAAAAGTGTAAGAAATAAGTGCCAATTTATTGTGTTCTACGCTGTGTTTATGTATTCATTTACTTTGGGCTTACCACCGGCGATGTTTGTTATCGGAATATCCTATCTATACACATATTCCGTGTCAACATGTTTAAGGTATTTACAAAACTCGAAATTTGAACATTAAGACTTTTCTGAGTATTATTTTTTTCGTACACAAATTATTGGATGGTTTAGACGGACAGTTTAAAAGATCAACATACGAATCAGTAAACGAGTTTCTATTTGCTCCTAAGTGACAATAAAACCCGGATGTTTTTACTGTTTAATTTGATGGAACAGTTTTTATTTTTCTCCAGCTTGGAACCTAGATGCTAAAAGAGAAAACATCAACTTGCATGATTAATATTGCTCATAATTATTCTATCTCATATTATTTATTAGAGAATATGTGAAGAGTCATCGAATAAATTCGCATATCAGTTGATGAAAACTTTATCTCGATGTATTTTATTTTCTCTTGTGAAAGTTTATTTCTTTTATCAGTCTGGTAATGATAAATAATTGAATTAAGATTTTTTAGTCTCGATATCGATATTGGATTCAGACACTGTAGTGATAGCATTTTTTTTCTATAGATGTTTTAATTGAACACAAACATTCCCACTTTCAAAATTATTTAAACATAAATATTTTTTTAAAACAAACTTCAATAGACTGTTACCAAATTTTGAAGATCAAAAGTGTGCAAAATTAAATTTGATAATATTTATCGTCATTTTGAGCTTTAAAAAATCATGCAATATTCATTCATTATTTTTATCATATTGAAATTATCAGAATAAAAAAGATGCAAAAATAAGTGCCAGAAACGTTTTTGGCTATACTTATGAGCTAATATTTTTGTTGATGCATTTTTATATAAATATTCTTACTGGTTAGAAATAAATAATGTCTAGAGATTAATTTCATCATTAAAAATTTATTATATTTTTAAAAGTATATTTCATTGATATCTTTCTCTGTTAATTCTCTTACTTTTAATAATTTATTGTATTAAAACCCAATTTATATTGTTTCAGTTTTGTTGTATTAAACACAATTTTTTATTTATTTGCATTACACTAAAATAAAAGAAAATATTATCAAATCTAGTGTGTTTCTATTTTGTAGAGAATAATTCACAATTTTTCAGAACAAAAAATAAATAACTGCTTTTTAAAATATAAGCATATTTTTCTAATTTATTTAATATGCTTATATGTGCCATTGATAAAATATTTTTAATATATGTTTTTTTATTTAACAATTCAAACTAGTATTTTAATTCAGCGGTAAAACATGGTATCTACAGCAATTAATCATTTTTTATTGTAACAAATTACAAAACAATAAAAATGAAAAGTAAGCACAAATTGAAAAAACATTTTTCTAAGCTGATATATAAATACATTGCCTTCATTTTCATTATTGAGAAAGGTGGGTTAAAAATTGTTTATTTGCCATTTTTTTCTGAGCTCTATTTTCATCCAACACGAATGGGTTTTAAATGATGATAGATGACCATAATCCGTTATACATTCTCTGATACGGATGTGTTCTTTATTTATGGTCTTTTTTCATGTTTCTAACTCGCCAAAGACACAATTTATAACCCCCCTAAACACCATACATTTAACGTAAATAATCAACCTGTGATACTGCAACGCACAATACACGTTTCATGTAAACAAAACCTCTTAAAATGTGTTGAGACAAAATCCTTTTTAATCTAACGTTTATATTCTTTAATTTAACTAACATAGAATAAAATACTAGAACAAACTAAGTAAAAAAAATCATCCTTATTCCTAACTAAATGCCTTTTTTCTTATTTTTAAATACACTCGACAACGGGAATAAATTACTAAGTC